GTAGAGCTAAGCCATGTTTTAGTTCATACATGTTGATATAGAGCATAATCCATGCATGCATGTTTGAATTGATGAGTTTTGAGTTGAATTCATGGTAAAATTGTCACATGCATGTCCATGATTTTGTAATGGTCCATGTTTTCAACTTGTTTTTGGATCAATTGGCTCCTTAGAGCATCAAATTGAAGCTTTGAATCGATTTGAATTCTTGCATGTTTGCATGTTGTCCATGTTCATGAAATTGGTTTGAAATTGGGTTTGAATTGAACACCCTTGGGCTTTGATTTCTTAAAATTGAGCTTTGAACCATGATATTCTATGTGTTTATGAAGGTTTTCCAGAAAATGGGCCCAAGAGGATTGGTTTTGATGCATTTGAACCTGGTTTTGGCTTGGAGGTGCAACCTGGAATTCCCAAATTTTGCACTTCCGCTCGAGCGGGGAAAGTGGCGCTCGAGCGTGGAATCCAAACATCCAGTATTTCTCTGCACTGTTTTACAGTCCGCTCGAGCGGCGGATTGGGCGCTCGAGCGGAGGATTGTGTCTCGAGCTCGAGCGGGCGTCGAGCGGAGATTTCACCCATCCAGTACTTTTACAGTACGCTCGAGCGGGAAAGTTGACGCTCGAGCGTGTACCTTTGTTGCATGACCGCTCGAGCGGGGAAACCTGCGCTCGAACGGGACTCTGTTTTTTCTGAAAATTCTGAAACTGTTTTCTGATTACATCTTTGCATCCTCATCCCATTCTAGGCATTCTTAGGCCTAGTTTAAGACATCTTGTTGAGGATATAGATGTAGAACACACCGAGGCAAATTAGGGATTAAGTTGTTATCTTTCCCAACTGTGTAGCTTAGTGTGTGTTCAACCTGTGAACTGTGTAGGGTTGGCAACTGGGGAGACACGCTCTAGCCTACGTAGCCCAGAACTCTGTGAGTAACAATTGTGTAAAGATATGTTCAACTGATTATCTTTTGAATACTGAACTGAACTGTTTACTGAACTGGATTTTACTGAATGAATGTATGTCCTTTATTTCTGAACTGTACTGTGGCATCCTTAGTACCTACTGTTTACTGTTACTGTTACAGAGATCTCTGTCGGTTCCCTTGTGGAACCATTACTGTTTACTGATTGATGGCCATCATTACTGTTCGGTCTTTTAAGACCTACTGTTACTGTTATGCTAATGGATGTACCACATATGACTGAATAACTGTTCTGACTGAAAGACTGAAGTATTGTTTAATGAACTGATTTCATTACTGTAAGGACATTTCATTCATAACCCCTTTACGCATTATGTTATTCACTGGGCTTTAGCTCACTGTTTATATATATATGTAGGTGCTCAGCCGCCAGATCGAGCTAGGAGCGTGGGTTAGACTCCAGTTTTGTCAAGCCAGCCTTTGTGCCTCACCGAGAGGTTCCGAGTTGCCATGTTATGGCTTTGGGGTGTCTTGTTTTTCCCCCGTCTGTCTCCATACTGTTTGGATTACTGTATAGACTGTTAACTGCTAACCGTACTGTTATCGAGGGATTAGGTCCCTGTACTGTGTGGCTGTAAATTTTGTATAGACTGTACTGTTTGTATATGTGAATGCATGAAAAATCTTTTTGGCATACAGACTGACACAGCTCAATGGACACTATTCATTTACTGTATTGGCTTCCGCCAGGCCCTGTACTCTGTTTTACTATTCTACTGTTCTGCAGGCCTTCGGTAATCTCGGATTACTGGCCGGTTACGGTGCTAAACCCATAGGGCCGGGTTTGGGTCGTGACAAAGGGTCAGGGGTAGTTCAAGATAACGTCTTGTGGCAAATAGTGCTGAGTCTTAGGGACCCCCTAGATCGTGCCAGCTCGACCCAGGTATAGGCTAGTTTAACCGAAGAGTGAATTTATCTCCACTTACCGTCCTCGAGATCAAGTCCTTTGTTCGGAATCCATTACACCCATGGTTCTGGTGCGTAAATCCCGCAAAGCTCCGAGTACGCCATTGTTCTTGGACTCATTAATGGAGCAGCTTCTAGATTGCGTCCGAATCCGTTCGAAGCCAAGCGGTTTGGATCTCTAGGTTCGTGGATCCGAACCCTTTCGAGTTTGAGCTCAAATAGGTCTCTAGGTTTTTGGTTTCAAACCCTTTCAAGACTAAGCAAATACCTCGGAGAATGGATCTCCTCTGAGGGTTTCATCTCTTTTGAAAGCAACAGTTAACCTCCTCGGACACCCATATGATCTAGACCTCCTCGAATGGGCTTGTTGAGCTTTCTTTAGAGATATATGCTTGAAATGTATCCTCCTCGGCCCAATTTGTTGACTTTTTTGTGGGCCCGATCAATATTATTCACTTGGCCCATTTGCCAATAATTTTTCCAAGCTCACCAATTTTTGGGCTTTTCGATTGGATCCAATTAATTAGTGGGCTTAAGTTAACCCATCTTACAAATGCAACGGTTATAGGGAAGAGGGAAAGTGGCAAGAGAGGCAATAGTAGTCGTGGGTCGATTGACGTGGTAGGGAATAGGTGGATTGTAAACGTGATATGTTTGCAATGTTATCTCTAAATTTTTGCACAATTTTATGAATGAGAGAGATAAATTGAATTTAAAAGTCGATTAGTAGTTATATACAAATTGGGAAGTTTTAAATTAATGAAATTGTAATTTTTTTTAAAAAAAAATTGTGAGTAATAAACAATCTTATGGACATTCTAAAAAGAAAAAAAAAAAGTGAAAAAATTTCAAAAAACGCCAACACCAAATTAGTTTTGTACACTTGATATAATAGAAAAAATATTCATAATCTCTCATTATAAATGAAGTTGAAAACCACCATAGAAATTTGATTAATAAGAAATCATTGGACATCAATGACAAACATTGAAACTCATCACAATTATTCTTATAACAATTACAAAAAGAAAGACAACTTTACATGGAAATTATGAAAATACATATATATATATATATATATATTTTGTAAAAACGATACGACAATAGTTATTAAGAAGCACACCAAATTTGCACCACATTTTATTCTCTCTTATAAAATCCTTATTTTGGTGCAAGAAAATAAATGGCTTGCCATGGAAAACTTAACCCATGCATGCAGACGTAAATCAAAGGCTGAGTGTGAATGGCACATTGGTGGCCGGCAACTACATGTTGCCAGAGATAAAGCTCCCAACTGTATATTGGGAAGCTACAGTGGCACTAATTATGACATGGTAGCCACCCCATTTCACCTTGTTAGCAGTGGAGGAGCCAGGACAAATGTTCATTTACTCTTCATAATACAAAGTACTAAGAGCAGAATTGTCACTCCATGGCATCCACCCTGTCGGGTCTGTCAATCCATCGAGGAATGTCTTCATATAGATTGTGCGTGAGTACTGCTTCCATGGATGACCAAAGTATGTCGTAACTGAACTTTGCACTGGCTTCAAATCTGTAGCTGTAGTAACTTTGCAATTGTGGATTGAAATTCCAGTGTTTTAGTTAGGGTCAGTCCTGCCCTGGGCAGTTATGGTGTTTGTCCTGTTAGGGGGACTTTGAGCATATTTGTTGTAATTTTGGAAGATAACAACGGCATTTCCAAAAATAAAGTCTACAGTTCCATAAAATGTCGCATTTTCTAAAGAATTGTCATTGAGAGTGGACATAAAGTGTCTTGGTAGCCTTCAAAACTACATTGATAGAATATTGAGAGGTCGGACCCTGACCGGAGTACCACAGCCTATTGGTTCACTGCTCCGGCTGTGTTCTTAATTGTAATGCCCTGTACTATAAACTTATCTCCCACTACAGACACTACAAGAATTAACACTTTTAGCAACAAAAAAATTGGTCGTTAAAAGTCTATTTTTGGTCGGCAAAAGTTATCCGCGACCAAAATTTTTGGTCGCTAGTTTGGTCGCCAATTGAGGGTCGGCAAAAGTAATTCGCGACCAAAATTTTCGTTGGTCGGCAAAAGTTGGATTTGCCGACTAAATTTTTGGTCGCTAAATATTTAATTACCGCGACTAATTCATTTTGTCGCTAAAACACTTTGGTCGCGAAAAGTGATATTTTCCCCTTATCCAAATCCATTTATCATGTATCCGATTATAAATTAGCCGAATTCGATAATTTTAAATATCCGATCCGATAATTCGATCTAATCCATTTATTTATTTATTGGGCTATAATTTTATATAATTTGAACTTTTTTTCCATTTTGTTTTCTTCATTCAAATTGAGAATAATCAGATCGGATTATCAAATCAAATCGGGTTTTTGCATATTCGATCCGTTTAATAAACAGATTCGGATTGCCGGATCAAGTTTTTTGTATCTTCATATTCAAATTAGATTCGGAACGAATTCGGATTAAACCAAATTCATTGACGGCCCTAGATAGATGATATATTGTAAGAATTTTTTGTGGGAAAATAAAAGACACCCTCAAAGATCATGTCTCTAACAAATTGTTAGTAATGAATTCTTAAAATTTCTTAAATTTTTAGTTGTTAGTGGAAATAACATTTTCCTATATTTAAAAGAGAAAAAAAGAAAAAGAAAAAACTAACATCTAAATATAATTATAAACAACAAAACAAACATAATTTTTTTCTCCTCAATGTAATTTCATGTTACTTAACATGTTTGAACAGTTGACATAATCATTTTGTTGCAATCATTGTAACAAGTTCAGGATATGAAAAGTATTATACATTGAAATAATTAGTAATTCTATAATAACTCATTAAAAAAAATCACTAATAGTTAAAAATAAAATTAAAAAAACTTTAAAAATTGTTTGAAAGGGATATTTAATTTTGAAATTTAAAATGTCTTTAATTATAGAAATATGCCGCTATAATTGGGTGACTTCTCCCTGATATCCTTTTCTATTTTCTTCGTTCAAATGCTTTGTTTCTGTCTTGTACCCCTCCGGAAATTTTTCTTTGATAAATTAAAAATAAATGAAAAATCAACTTTTTTGATAACATCAAATTAAAGCTTATAAAAATTGGTGTAGAAAGAAACCACACTTTCTATAAGTCAAGTCCCAACAAATACATGAATTTAAAAGAAAGATCCCATTGATCATATTCAACAGACAAGGCTAAAGCTCCAGCTTCCAGTAGCATTAGTAGGTATGCAACCTTCCTCTTTTTGTTTTAAGACAGGCTAGTTTTTGAGACTCAACCCCACGCCACAATGACATTGCTCAAGGTCATGAACTCTCATTTATGTTATTGTATAAAGGAGTTAATAGCCAACTCAACTAGTCTACATTTACAGATATATTCAGGTGTGAACCCATAGAACTCAAAGAACAGAGCCAGTCATGAATCGATGGTTCAATACAGCTTCTGCAATTGGCCGTTTCCGGAAGTCAGGGTTCAGCATAGCCTGCATCAAAAAGAAACAACAATTGTATATCAAGAACAAAGCCACAGTGCCAATAGGGAACCAAAGTTTCTTCACTTTCCTTTCCCCTTTTTTGGATAGTTAAATAGACTACCCAAAAAAGATAGCTTCCATCAAGTCAGCACAGAAAATAATTAAACCTGCAGCAATTCCCAACCAGCACCATCACCGAGATCCAGAAAATTGACAGCTTCTAACAAGCGGTCATCTGCTAAACAATACCTACACCATATAAAAAATAAAAAATAAAAAAAAGGGCAAATGAACTGATCAATGGCAAAGGAGTGCCATATTAAAAACATAAATGGGATAACACAATGGGACTGCAGGAAAAAAAAGGTCATGATTCCAGAGGTGTAATATTAGAAAATTGTTTTGTATTAGTATGGAAACATTTGGCGACGATTACCAATGTAAATATATCAGATGGTCTTACGTTTGAAGCTGCTAAATGTAAGCAATGTCAAAAAGTAGAAAAGATTTGGCAAATGGCCTGGCAGAAGTGCTAGTAGTATGTCTACAATCACTCATCAAGGTCAGCTAAGTATGGCTGCATAAATAGTAGACATCAATTAATAATCAGCCCTTACGCTAGCAGGTTATCAGAATGGATAGGCAAACAAAACAGGATCCTCGACCAGACCTAAAAATAATTGGAGCATAGTTAAATGCTGACAATGCAACCTGACTCCTTTTGCCAACATTTTTGGCATAGGAGAGCTTGGAAAGACCCAAAATCAGGTGGCTTCAAGCTCTACTATTATGGTTTTCAGAATAAAGCTACAAGCCATCTACAAGTAACAACTGCGAATTGTTTTTCACGACATAAACTTCAACAATCTAATAATATGATAAATAGTTTTTTAAACATTCAGGGGACCCTTATCTGGTGAGGATTCAAGCAAACATCAGCATATAAAGCCCAAATGCCTCTGGTGTGTAGTCTTCATTTGCGTAGGAACCTCAGATTACACAGCCTTCCCATGAGGGGCCTAGTCTATCATGGCCCAGGGGACCTTCTAGAAAAGCCAGGCAACACAACCAACAAGTCAGAGCTAAGCACAACTCAGTAGCTAAAGGGCATTCCACCAAATATACATCAATGACACAACCATCATCAGTATTTCAAGGGCATAGTCTGACAGGAAATAGCAAAAAGGTCAGAATAGACAACCCACAAGTCAGAGCAATGCATAATTCAGTAGCTATTCCAGCAAAGATACACCAATCCTCAATGAAGTTCAGGTCTTTAATGCAACTATAGCTCATCAGAATTAAGTTCACTGGATCCAAAAATTCTGTTCATAATGTTGTGTGCGCACGTCAAAAAAATCTATATATAGATATATGAATATAATTTTAATGTAAGCAGTGCTGAAATCTTAAAATTTAAGAGAGGGGTTCTTACTCTCTTGTAGCTTCAAGATCAAGTCGAAAAGTGCTTTCCAGAAGTCTCTGTAAGTTCATTGCATGAAAATTTAGGATGGATTGAAGAGCTAATTAAATTACAACTCAAGAAAAAAGGTGGAAATCATGAATGAACAGTAGAACAACTTCATACTGTTGTAGCTTACTTGCAATGAAAGGCTATCCATGATTCCTGCTTCACAAAATGGAATAAACGCCAAGTATGCAAAAAGAAGACCTGCTTCATATCTGCAAACAGGAAACAATGACATGCAAAATAATAGCTTATATATTCAAAATAACCACAAAAAATTCAGGAAATTCACATGTCATCTGCTATTCCAAAGGCTCTTTTCTCCATAGGAGTGAATGCACCAGCTGCAGATGCCCGTCTCCAAAGTCCTTCTGACAATGCTCCTGAACCTTCCTCTAGTTGTGAATACCTAGAAACATCTGATCCTATAAACCACCATTTGGAAGGTAATCATGAATCTCAGTTACACAAGTAATTCATTAAAATAATTCTCGATATTCTCCTTTTTCTTTTTCCTTCTCTCCTTGAACTTACCCATCATCCAGAGCAATAGAGCAATTAAGGTGTTACAGATTCTAATAAACCACCAGCCTGAACCCTAGTAAAAGTAGGTAATTAGTGACTGAGTAGCTGAACACCCAGTGATGGGATGACAGTTTTAGCTAGAGGTTTTGCCACACCAAAACTATGGGAGGATGCTGTTGCAAATAATTCGCTTCAGCATTCTTATGCACTCATTATTAAAAGAGTATAGACAGTGTTTTCATATGAAGTATTCTCCAAAGGAAACTAAGGAAGCACGTTAACATGCACAAAATCAGGGATGGGATATATGTGTGCATGAATCCAACAGAACCTACACCAAGGAACCCTCACAATATATTGGGGATAATTGAAGAACTCCAATCTTGACCAACATATTTTTAACACTGATAAAGGCATACTTTCTAAGAGAACTTATGGGTTGGATTTCCGCAGGAACTAAGAACATTTCTTATCAAATTGCTCTAAGAGTTTTTCTAGAAGAAACTAGATTAGCTAATGCCCACATCTAAGTAACATCTTGAATCTCTTTGTCTTACATGGTTAGTTTTGCGATGTTCATGTCTCTTTGTTATCCAAAGGTTTCATGCAAAATTGTTATGCTGCACTCATCAACAAGATTACGAGAAAATAAAAACATCTTCAAAGTCATTTCTGCTACTGCATGACCTTTCCAATTTTCAATAGAAGTCCAGGTCATATGATTTTCTTTTCAGCATTATATGTCTTGTATTAATCATCACAAATTGGTAATATATCTCCAATTTCTTTGTTAAAAAAAAAAAAAACTGCATATGCATATATAAGCAAAGATATTTTTTGGTCAATGTAAAACATACCCTAAATATGAGTAAAGATGAAACAAAACAAAACAAAATCTTAAATATATTAGAAAACAGCCTTAGATATTGATAATTGTAAGGTAAGAAGACATGCATTAAATTAAGATATGCATGTTTGGCAAGCTAACACCAGATGAACACCCCGTTTGGATCGTGAGGGGAGGTGAGAAAAGAAAAGAAATGATTATGCTTTCTCACTATTATGTTTGGATGAATAAAAGGAAAGAGAATACGGTTTCTCACCTATCTTGTTTGGATAGCGTAAGTAAGAGAAAGGAAAAGAAAGTGTTTTATTTCATTTTACCAAAATAACCTTCCGTATTAATAAGCCACATTTTTTCATGAGGGTAATTTTGGTATTTTAAACAAGTCTCATTAAACTCAATTCTTTTCTCACCAAATCTCACCACTTTTGGTGAGAAACAGAACACAGAACACAGGATTGGTGAGAGTCTATTTCTCAGTCTATTTCTCACCATCTCACACCATTTCTCACAATTTCTTTTCTTTTCTTCTCACCAAACCCCTCCATCCAAACAAATTGTGTTATTTTCCTACATGGTCATGACAACTAGCTCTTCTGCAGCGTACTGTAGCCTTTATAAATGTTATAATTTAAGCACACTTCTTTGTTTGGTTGTTATGAAGTACATTCAAAATAAATTACACCAAGGGCTATACCGTATATCAACAGAAAAAGCAAGATCCCGAAGCCGTGGAACTAGGTAAGCTGCATCTTTCTCATCCACAGTACTGCCATTAGTCAAAAGAACTTTGTATGATGTTCAATAGAGTGAAGAGAGCAATTGTGTAAGAGATAAATGAAGCCACAATGTGAATGAAATTACAAATGCCAAAGACAGCATACTTGAGTACAACAGAAGCAGGTCCAAGACTTTGGTGTAGTCTGTCATGGTCATGCATGTAGGCTAGGCCACATAAAGCACCATGAAGCAACTTAATAACAAAAAATCTTCTACGCTTTATAGTTAGCTCTTTTTCAAAAGGATTCCAGGAGTTTTTCCCTCCTAGTTTTGACATTTTTTCACTCTTAACTTTTGCATAGTCTGCGGCACTGTATTTCCCATCATTACGAAAAGCAAGCCACTGTACAGAACACATTTTATGTAACTTGTGTAAAAAATTTACCAAGAAACGTGTAACACGTGATATGAATGATACTTATATAACAGACCTGCTCCCCAGTTTTTGTCTCAAACCCACCAAGAAGTATTTGGAGATTCTGAGAGACAGTTTTCGAACTGCTCTGCAAAGGAAAAACATTATTATAAAAGGTTATTGGCAGAATCCATTCACTAGTATGCATGAAGAAATTATAATAACATAATGAAGTTTTCAAGTACTTTAAGATCGTTTATTGAAAGTATGATATCTTACTTGAAGGAATGCGTGAACATTTAGTTCATTTGCAGCCATCATATCAGCCTTAACACCACCAACTTGTTGTCTAGGATAAACCTTCATCATTAGCATGACATTAAGAACAAAATATGGTAATTTTAAATAACTCAGTTGAATAGAAGCTAGTGCAAAAGAAATTGTTGGAGTTCCTACTAATACATCCAAATGCACAATTCATGTAGTCAAGTAGTCTAAGAGTATACAGCAATGAAAACTTTCCATAAAAAGCAACCTGCCTGCACATTTTAAACTTTTATTAATAGAAATTTGAAGAACAAAATCCAATTTTCGACAGATGCTACACAAAAGAATAGAACCTAAATAGCTAGTTTTCCTCCTTTTTTCCGAAAAAGTAAAATAATAATAACAATGCTATAGCCTACAAGACATCTATAGTAATTGAAAGTAAAAACAAATGAAAAGGAAATACACAAGGACAAAATTTGTCATAGGGATGAACTAAGACAATGTTTAACTCAAGGAAATTGAAAAGGAAAAAAATACTAGATTATTGATTTCATTAGCAAAAGAGAGGCTTGAGTAATTGAGCGAGTCATCACTACACATGTCCCAAACTTACTGTAAATGTATGTTGTTGTTTGGCCGCACCATAGCTTTTCTTAACAACTCTCCCAGCAATAGTTCTCTTTCCAAGAAAACTTCCACTCCTTGTCATTTTATCAAACCTGTTTGGATATAAACCTGTACGGAATTAGCTCCTTCATTTACCGAGCAAATATGATTTACAAACTACGGTGGAAATCAAGAGATTCATATACAGAAGGAAAACAAGAGCTGAAACTAGTGAGTTACTTCTTGTAGAAAATGACAATATTATTTGAGAAACAAGACATTTAATAAAAGATCAGATACTAAGCACGACACAACATTTCCCACCTAAAATCCAAGCAAATGATTGAAAATCTAGTTTGCAAGCATGGGAAAAACAAACCCACATCTAAAGTTTTGAAAGTATGTACTAAAAATTTGCTATAGTTGTAAGGCAAGAGAATTAAGTCAATTATCATCGAAAATCATGTCCGATATGGCCCACCATTCCAAAATGCATCAAGCAGGCCAGGATGCTAACCTAAATCCAGAATCATGAGCACAGCCATTGAAACCTCAAAATGTGGGTTTGCTCCTTACATAGTTTTTACTTTAGTACTATTTTCCCTTCGGAAATAATCCAGAATCCAGAATCATGACCAGCCCTTTGATTACAGCACCACATTTCCATTTCTCAAAAAGGGGAAGGAAAGAAAAAATTAAAGGTAAAGAAAAAAAAAATGAAATGAATTACATTACAAAATGGACACTAATTTACACAAAAATAGGACGTTTGGGAGTAATGGTATGACTTGAAACAAAAATGTTAGTGCATCGATCATATGTACTATGCTCTCTCTATTTCATAATCTGAGTTGGGCATATCAGAAATTTGCAAGGAGAAGAGTAGGCAACATCTCAAGGAGCCTTGTTACAGAGAATATAGAGGTTTATTCAGTCAACCTCATTTGCGCTCTTAGCCCACCTGTCTGTCCTCTAGAGTATAAGAGAGGCCTGTCAGGTAAAGCCTGAAGGTTCGTGTTTCTATATTTTGTCAAACCCATATTATATTAACATGACAACAAAAACTGTGAAAAATTCAATTAGTAAATATTTTGATTTCTTTTCTCTGCAACCAAACAGGGGGAAATGGAAATGCTTCGAAAAACGGAAAACCTAACCTTCGTTTCTTGCTTCTATGTCCATCACTTTCTTCTTCTTCTTCAGACTCAGACTTGTTGCCTTCAAGTTTCAGAGTCTCTGAACCTTCGTCGTGAATCGCTTCTTCATCTTCTTTTTCTTCGACAGTGACAGCGTTGTTGTGGGTTCTCTAAACACGGGTCTCGAGGAAAGAATCGACTTGGTCTCAGATGAAGGCTTTGCGGTCAAGACAAGTTGACGCCGAACTCTGACTCCAGGGTGCGCCGGACAGATCGGGCGGTGGTGGTGTTGAGGTCGAAGGTCTGGAGCACATCCCAGAGCCGATTCACCAGCTTTGAATCCGAAACCATGTTTACTATTACTCGTATTCAGATACTCCGATCCGATTAAAGAGCTCAACCAAGAAAAAGAAGAGAAGAAGAAAAGAGAGTGAAATTGGTGACATATGATTTAGGGTTTGAAATGGTTTGATTTAGGGTTTGAAATGGTTTGATTTAGGGTTTGAAATGGATGAGTGTGGTGGAGTAGAGTGACTTCTGCAAAGAGTAATTTCATTTTATCATTGGGCGCAAGAGTATTTCATTTTGGCGCCTCAGCAACATTTTGCCCCAAATTTTTATGAGAGAGAGAATAATTTGAATGGTTTAAACAGAGAACAGGCGGAGGAATCTGCACCTTTGGTGACAAAATTAGTTTTTGGTTGGCAAATGTAATTATTTGCGACCAAAATATTTTAGTCGGCAAACTCAATATATGGCGACTAAATAAGTTTAGTCGCCAAAAATAAGTTTTTGGCGACCAAAATTTTGGTCGCCAAAGATAAAAAATAATTTTTTATTTTTCATTCAACGACTAAATAGTTTTAGTAGCCAAAACTTAATAGACGGCGACTAAAATATTTTTAGTCGCTAAAAATAAGTTTTTTGGCGACCAAAATTTTGGTCGCCAAAAAATAAAAAATAGTTTTTTATTTTCCATTCGGCGACTACATTGTTTTAGTAGCCAAAACTCAATATACAGCGACTAAAATATTTGTTGTCGCTAAAAATAAGTTTTTGGCGACCAAACTTTTGGTCGCCAATTCCACAACCAACTTATTTTTAATCTTTCGCGACCAACTTATTTTTTGGTTGCCAAAATGTGACCTTTCGCGACCAAATTTGTAGTTGGTCGGCAAAAGCATACCACTTTTTGCGACTAATAATATTTGGTCGCCAAAAATAATGATCATTCGCGACTAATTAATATTTGGTCGTCAAATGTCATTTTTTTGCGACCAAAATTTTTTTGGTCGGCAAAAGTGGTCGGCAATTGTGTAAATTCTTGTGGTGAGATATTACTTCTATTTTACTCATTGTGTCATTTTAATTCATACACTTTCAATTAACTCACTTTTGACCCCATCATTTTTGTCTTTGCACTTTCAATTGCCTCAATTATGAACAAATGACATATATAGTCCTTATATTATATACTTGATCTAATAGATTAGACAAATCATATAACACGGGCAGCCATTTGATGGATGGCTCTACGGTGGGCATGTGTCGGGTAGGTTCGGGTTAGAGTCAAATTAGTTTCATGTTTTTGTTTAGAACAGAATCATGGGCCCACTTTAATTTTAATTTTTTTTATTAATGCTTATTGAATATAAATTTTTTTTGAAAAATTAATTTGTAAAAAAAAGGTATAAGATTTGTAGAAAAAATTTAAAACTAAGGGGTGATTTGAGATGTTCTAAATAAGTGCACTTTTTGACTTTTTATAACAAATGTGTAGAAAAGTAAAGAAAGTGAGTAGAAAAGTAGAGAGAAGATGTTGATAGATGTGACTGAAATAAGTGTATGTATGCAAAAAAAAATATGATTTTTTTAGTGCATGCCAAACACCTATTAAATTATGTCTTTTAAGAGGACTACTATTAGCACTTGCTTCCCCATTTCTTTAAACCCTCGCCTAACAAATGAATTCCCTCTATTTTTTTTTGAACCCCCCACCTTAATACCAACTATACTCTCTCTCTACCCCTAACCTAACCTCCCAACCTAACCATTGTCACCTCCAGCCACACCCTTCTCTGCCATTTCCATCTCCGGCGACCAACATATAACATGGTAAAAAAAAAAAATCCAAACAAGAAGAAAACAAAAGATGATGCAATCCAAAATCCATAAAAGAGTACCAAGAGACCTCAATATAGGAAGATAGCATCAAAACCCCAACATAAATAGATGTTAAGCTAAATTAAAACCGTATCACTACAACAAAAAATACTTTTAGCGACCTGTTTTTTAGTCACCAAAAGTGTAATTTTGGTTGCTGAAAGTATCCGCGACATGAACAGAATTGGTCGCTGAAGCCTTGCCACTAAATGCTTCGGCGACCAAATCAATTTTGGTTGCCTTTATAAATAAATTGGCGACCAAATATTTCCGTCGCCAAAAGACTAAAATTTCGTCGCCATAAATTAACATTTAGTCACTAAAAGTAGCCTTTAGTCGATGACATGTTAAGTTTCAGCGACATATAAATGCGTCGCTAAAAATATCTTTCAGTGACTAAAAGAATTGGTTGTTGAATGTTAAAACTTTTGGCGACCAATCAAGTTTTAGGTTGCTAAAAAAATTATGGACACATACTTTCAGCAACATAAATAAAATGTCACCAAAAGTAAATTTACAACTAAAAAAACCTATCACAAAAAAATCATTATTTATAATTTTTTTTTAACAATTTCCTTGTTCAATACATAATTCATAAACCTATAAACATAAGCAAAATATAATTCAAATTAACACACTTGTGCAGAGCATCCAAAATATAAACTTAATTCAAAAGTAGTACCATATTAAATATAAACAACATATCAAATCCAAAACATCCAATTTAAGTACAAATCTCTTACAATCCCAAACTTGAAACATGTAATGCCCAAAAACCTTCTAAGCTTGCAAATTCATAACAAAAACCCATGACAAAATATATCCAAAAATTCAAAATGTAATCCTTTGATGCTCCCTGAACTATATTCCATCCATTGCCAATCTGTCAAACATATGAAAAAAAAAATTATAATGTTAAAAAATTAATAATAAAGGTCTTAGTCTAAAAACATTGGTTTCACATTATAGATGAACAAATTGAGAGCAAATTTTCCTATGGTGAATTACAAAATTTCAATATATCAAAATCAAAAAGTAACACATGATTCACTAGTTAAACTTGGCATATATGAACTAATTACAAGCAATATCTCTATAAATTTGTACATATTCCTAGTTTTTTTTTTCAACCTAAAGATCAATACTCGTGCTCTACCACAGTGCATGCAGCACA